GGGACAAACATTAAAAAACATTAAAGTACTGTGCCAAGTGACAAAATTCCATGCCAACCATGGGTTACGTATGTATGCATTTTATTAAACGTTTATACCAATATACACTATTTTAAACCTTTGTGTGTGAATTTTGTGTGTTGATTTTATGATATTTGACAACCATGAATATTAATAATATGTTAACAGCAAGTTTACAGTATATCGTATAATACAAAAGCAATATCACTGATATTATCACAAGACTCAAGTACTGTACATGGTCTAATAGATGTTTCTTAGTCAGCAACTATGCTCTTTGACATTGTGGCAAGCTTTATATTGTGGTTAGCTTGGTTTTTCACTTTTTTGATACAACTATAGAATACCCACAACTTTCACACCTTACCGCTATTAATTCCTTGTAAACCAAACTAACATACTCATATGATTTAATCTCTAAACTTTACCTTAAACTATTTTGAAGTGATTCTTGTACTTATTTATGTGTCAATGAATGCGGAAAAATGGCGAGGTATTCTATAAGCATTCCGGCATGTGTGTTTTTGAACCTTCACTGTTGAGAGAGCATGCCACTGGTCTCCCCAAATTATCTGAGCACTTCAACCAGACCAACAGCTGCCAAATGGCAACTATGCTCAGAGGTGTAACTTAACACTTGCCTGGGGCAAGTGAATATCATGATGGGCAAGTAAAAGTTTCCTCTTGGTTGCCCGAACGGGCAAGTTGCTTTGCCACAAAAAGCTGGCCAGCTTTCAGTTCATATTATTATATTGTCGGATAGAATAAAGGCTGTTCGACGATGCTCAGAGGTGTAACTTAACACTTGCCCGGGGCAAGTGAATATCATGATGGGCAAGTAAAAGTTTCCTCTTGGTTGCCCGAACGGGCAAGTTGCTTTGCCACAAAAAGCTGGCCAGCTTTCAGTTCATATTATTATTGTCGGATAGAATAAAGGCTGTTCGACGATATTGGTTCAAGCTGGCAAATCATCTGCATCAAATTCATCTAAATTGTTTGGTTATATTATCCATTTGATTCTCTTTTTGGTTATTAAATGTTTATTCATAATATGATAACCGAACGAAATATGGCAGGACTTCATTTATGGCAGGACTTAATTTGGGACTTTATTAGTCCTGTTGTCTGTGCCTTCAATTTCTTATTGTAAAACTAATAAAAAAAATAAATAATGGTGATTAGTGTTACATTAAACAAGTGTACTTGATTCAAATTTTGTTTAATATGTGAGCCAAAGCTAGATCTGAGGTAGTTTAGATCTGAGGCAGTAACATATAGCCAATGCCACTAGTCCAATGAGTGGATATGTTGTCTCTCTAATTTATACTGGCCCACGTAGGTACCCCATTGCCTGATGGCAAGTGGATTTTATTCAGGGCAACCAATTTTCATGTCCAACTTGCCCTGAGGGCAAGTGGTCAAAAAAGTTAAGTTGCACCACTGATGCTGTATACAAATTATATACCTGAAAGGTAACTTACATCATATTGTGTCATTTAAATACTAATACTTGTATTCTCACAGTGTATTAAGATATACAAATGCACTTGTGATGCCCAAAGAATTGCCACAAAAAACCCCATAAACCACAAATCAGTCAATTTCAGTAAGTAGGGCACACTGGGGCACATTGCAGCTCAATGGGTTAACTAGAGACATTGTCAGATTTTGGTTAATAACCATAATTGCAAGAGGTCAGTACAGTCTGTAACAATAAGTAATTCAGGAATTCACACAGTTCTCAGTAGTTAAATGATTATCGGATTTCATGTTAAATGATTATCGGATAATGTTGAGCATCAAGAATACATGTATAATATCCTTCATACATTTATAATAATATTCAGGCTAAATATCATAGTTATTATTTTATGTACTATAGTTTTATCAGGTATAAAGATACGAGGTGAAGCGAAGTACCTTTAGGTCTGATAAAGCATACACTGCGAATGTTTTAAATTGCTCAACTGATGGTCACCAACAACAAATAGTACTTTATTACAAGGCGGCAAAATGTATTTATATTAAAAGAGATGAATAATCTTGTCACTTGATACATTTGACATCAGGTGTCTTGTATTTGTCCAGAAGAGACCCCTTGTTATTGTATCATGTTTTGAGAATGAGTTCAATTTTGATATTTGTTGTTGATCTGAGCAAAATATTGATTATTGATTTGCCTACTGAGGTACACATTATTGAACAGTCAGTTGTGGTGAGTGATGCTGAACTGCCTGTTGTATGTTGTGAGTGATTTTGAGCGCCTGTTGTGATGAGTGACACTGAATTGCCCCAATTGTGGCTCAGGAAATGTACCTGCTGACTTGTCAAATAATCTCCTTAAATAATGTTCTGGGAAGTAATTTGTGTAATTGATTACAAACAAAAACAAGAGCTTGTTAACAGTATAATGAGGAAATTAATTCCATCTCATTATATTATTCAGCCTTGATAAAGCATATGGAGGCTTTCTGTCTGATTTGATCCTCATGCATGTAATTGTTTGGGAATGCCTGATAATTAAGATCACAACATTTGTTTTGAAGCTTGGCCTTTGAAATCTAAACCCAAAGCATTATATGTGTGTTCACAATGTTCTTGGGATAAGAATGAAAATCAAATAAAATATTTCAACTCAATTAAATTCAGGAAATGTTAATTAACCATGGAGGTCAACCAGGTTATACTCAGGGCATATGGCTAACATAGCATTTAAATTGTACTCCCTTTAACTGTTAAATATACTGTATGATATTGACATTTGCAAGAAAGATCTATTGTAGCAACAATAACTATTAAATGTTTTGATGATCATGGATATGGTGTATTGAGAGTCCATATTATTAAATTAATAAAGTGATTTTACATATCTGTTTCACAATCGAGGCAGGCAATTTCCTTGCGACAGTATTAAATTCATAGTAAATACTTCTATCGACCATTCGTTTTGCACTGTTGCTTTGTCTATTTAATAGATCTCCTTTACAGTTCAACCAAGGTTCTCAGAGCTAATTTGAAGACAATTTCAAATTTATTCAATATTTTTGGAAGAACTTTAACAGATTTTTTCATTTTAAAATAGATTTTTGTTCTTTATTTGTCGATTTCGGTGTTTATGCATTATATTGACGAATATATTGTAGCTAAAGCGATCCGCGATCGCACCCCCTGTATAGTATTTGCTCCGATATATCACGTGACAAAATAATCCACAATTTGTGGATTATTTCACCAGCCTTTACCAGGGCCTTTGCTGCCCTTCGCATCTTTCTTTAAAAGGCCCTGGGGACGAGGTTGCGAGATAATTTTTCAAAAATATTTTTGGCCGAAACACAAAGTTTGCATGCATTTTACTCGTAGACTAAAATGTTCAAGACGGAAATGATAATATTTTCATAGTTCGGTTGTCAAGTAGGATTGAAATAGCCAATAAAAATTTTCGTTGCCAATGTCCTTTAAAATAATTTGTGCCAAAAATTGAAATTGACCCATTCTCGAGCAAAATTTTAAATTTTTCCGGATTCAAGCCCAGTGATCTGTAGTTGTCGTGCGAAACTCGCAAAAAATTGGACTAGAGAGACGCATAACGGGGACTGGGTACAAGTAAACAACCATTTTGAATTTATTTAAATTTATAAAGTTTGTTCGTTCACTACAACCAGGTATATCAATCATGTTTCGTTCGCTACTCTGGTTTAAATAAATGATTACAAAGCCCAGTCGAATTGTAATCGAGACCCAACGTTTCGACACTCCAGTCTAGTGTCTTCATCAGGGGTGATCTAAAACTGCGATCGTGGCTTCTTAAATACCCAAGGGATGACGTCACCTGCCAAGAAGATGCATATATTCTTCTGGCAAATAGGCGCCGTCATCCCTATTCAAAGCATGATGACTCATATTTATATGCCACGCTTCTAAGCATTTAAGAAGACACGATCGCAGTTTTAGATCACCCCTGATGAAGACACTAGACTGGAGTGTCGAAACGTTGGGTCTTGATCACAATTCGACTGGGCTTTGTAATCATTTATTTAAACCAGAGTAGCGAGCGAAACATGATTATTTAAATTTGTTGTCGTTTACACACGAATGTAAAATATTAGGCGAAGTATTGGAAAATTCAAACCAAAAGGACAAAGCCGTGCCCGGCAAAAATCGAAAATTGTTTTAGACTTTGAGAATATATCTTAATTGTGCATTAACAAGAGAGAAAAGTTAAATTCGAGCACTGGGCTTGTTGCCAAGAGGCACATGCATGAGAACTCTGGTGTACTATCACATGAGCTTAAAACTCGATGGAGCGAAACGATGGAAACAAGTGAAAGAAAAGATGATGAAAAGCCATGGGGTTGTGCTGCACTTTTCCAACACTCACGATAATTATCACTCGGCATATCAATATGTCACGAAGCAAGACACGGAAGTGCTTTTAAGTCCCAATCACCCTAACCTTAGCGAAATCGGTTCTCCTGGAACCAAAACATGTATCCGTGCATATCGAGAAAGTCGAAAGCGCAAACAAAACGAGAATGCAAATGTCCAACAAGAAGCAAAGGCTAAAAAAATAAGACGTCTCAGCAATTTCGAAGTCTCCGAATTTTTGGTGGCAAATCAAATAAAAAGCGAAACTCCGAGCTACTTGCACTTGCAGACACTCAAAGCAAAGAAGGGAAGAAAGACTTAGCCAATTTTATTTTGTGTCGCTCAAGCAAAGCCATCCAAGAGCTTATTGATAACACATGGCGCTTGCAAAATGCACGGGCTAAGCTTGATAGGAAGAAGAAGTCTTTTGTAAATACAATTGTAAATCTAACTTCTTGAGGTAACCTACAATTGACTACTTGAATCACTTATACATGCATGGTCATAATTTTATATACAAAAATTGTTAATTATTTATAGAAATAGTTACTTTAAATGTTCATTAGTTCGGGATTTGTCCATTCTTTATTTCTACAGCAAAATATGTAGTACGTTGATCGGATGGCAATAGATATAATTTTTCTGATACAATGTTGTTGGTGTTGATTATCCAGTCCTAACTCATTTAACATTTTTACGAATGTATGACATTCTTTGTCAAACACAGATACAGATATTTCACAGCACACTCCCTATATCAGGGCTTTTCAGTGACTGGTTACATTATGAATAGATAGATAGAACCGGACTGACGTGAAGCAGACCGAGGTAGACTTTGAGCTTACAAATGGCGCTTGAGCAGCTGCCGCTATTAGTCCATACCTCATTAATGATCTGCCTCCAGACCTATGTGCCTAACCCCCCCTGTCAACTTTCCCTGTGGGAGGAAACACGGAGTGCCCGGAGAAAACCCACGACTTTCGGCAGAGCGTTGACTTTTTACTCTTTTCACATGAGGACTGGGTTGGAGTCACATTGAAAAGTTCTCACTGAGATTCGAACCTGCGACCTTAGAGGTGAAAGGCAAGTGCGCTAACCACTAGCGAACCGACAGAAAGATTTATAAATTTAACAGATGTAAAGTTTTGATCCAGTTCTCTAATTAGTTTTTTATATTTAGCTTTCTTGCGGTTAACATTGGTTGTGAGGTTTGATTCAAAGCCTACAGTAAGTTCAACAACGTAGAGGTGTTTGTCTAAAGTGGAGACAAGTAAATCAGGACGATATTCATCTCCCGCAATAATCGAGGGGCTTTCAAATCCAGTACGATCAACATATAATTTGCATTCGTTTAAACTTTGAAAAGTTTTTGCAAGAAAGTTTAGTATGCAATCGTGTCTCCAAGTAAATCGTTCCAAGTAATGTAGACAACCGGCAACAGGGCATTTTTTAACTATATAACTGGGGGGGGCCAAAGCCCCCGCAGCCCCCATGGTGGCCCCCCCACTCAACCATTTTGGCCCCCCCAGTCAAAGTCCCTTTTCTCTAAAATATAAGCAAAACATTGAATTTAGAAGGGAGGTTTGATATTCTAGTAACTGAAATTTGCTTTGTGAATCTTATGTCCTGTCTTTTATGTTTAATAAATACCTTATTAGATTTTAAACATTTCCCAGGCAGTGGATTGCATTTCCCAGACCCTATAGAGTTTGAGTTGTTGGACAAGTTAGTGACCGCAGGGGGCAACAGCCCTCAACCATGTGTTTTATAAGGGGGGGGGGGATAATTTTGGCCCCACCAAAAAAAAAACAATTTGATTTCGAAACTAGAAGTATTTGAAATCATATATACATATAATCAAATATCTGTAATCGATATTTTGATAACATTTCTCGTAATAATCCATCCTGACTCGCGGATATCGATCATAGACTCACAAGTCATAATGAACGAATTAATGAAAGGGCCAAACAAAAGACGTATAGAAGACTTTGAAAATGCCATTTCCGATGATTTAGAGACGCAAAATTTTCAAAATTTTTCCACTCTGTGCCAACCATGGTGGCGCTTCGTGGGAGTCGGGAACTCTAAGTTTATCAAGCTGGCTCCCTAAGTGACTGCCAAGTTGTGGTATCTACATAAAAATACTATGCAAGTACTTAACTGCAGGTTCAGTCTATCTACAGCATAATGTAATGCTGTATATCCAAAAATCTGTTTCAGAAAATGCAGGGAATTGCAGTCATAGGGGTAGAAAAATACAAAAATTTTCTGGGGGAGAAAACCCCAGACCCTCTCCAGGGCCGTAGCAACCGCGCCCGGTGTGGGGG